TCAATGTGTGTGAGAATAGCTGGAAGGTGGGAACAGAGGGGTGGCCCAGGACAGGGCAGGGCAGCCCAAAAAGGAGGACGATGTCTCCTGTGAATGCCTCATGTTGGGCCTGGCTCCTCTGCATGCGTGGGCCATAAGGAGGGACCTGGGTCTTTAAGGGCAAACAGCCCATGGAACTTGTGAGCCCCAAAGGGAGGGTAAAGTCCAGGGTGCTGCCCCCCACACACACACTGACAGGAGAGCAATTTTGGGGGAGAGGAAAAAACATTCCAGGCTTGGGATTCCCATAGGTGGGAGGGTCTCCTAGCCACAGCGAAAGAAGGAGCACTTCTTCTTCAGGGGGTCAGAACTTGGCTGCGCTGGCCCCTCACCCTCAGACAGTGGAAGGTGCCCCAGACAGTGTCACCCCAGCCTTGGGAAACAGAGCACAAGTAATAATAATGAGAACTTTGTGGGACCCTGGGGACACTATATAGAGCCACCTGTACTCCTTACAACAACCCCCCCGTTTGTGAGAAGGGTACAGACATCACCCTCATTTTTACCCCATGAAGAATGAAGCCCGAAGAGCTTATGTAACGGCTCAGGATCACACGGAGAGCAAGGAGCAGCGCAGGACTTGACCCCTAGCCTGGGTTGTGTCAAAGTTCAGAGCTTTTCGCCACTGTGGGTGATGGGCTGCGGCCTGCTGTTTCCTCGCTGGTCTGGCTCAACCAGGCCTCTGGAGAGCTTTCGTGATTTATCCATCCAGCCTCTGTCTCTGCTCCTCGTCCTCCCCGGGTGAGAACCTAGGTGCCCTGTGCTCAGCTGGGCTGGATCCGCCCATCACCGCCTTGAGATCCGTGGCTGCAAGTGGTTGTGGCCTCTCTGCTGCCCTGGGGGCTCGCCGGGGACAGAAGCTCTGGGGGGCTTGTCAAGTAGGACAGGCCTGGAGGAGGCAGAGGGATGGACAAGACGACCCTCACAGGAAAGCCCCCAGGAGAAAGGCCTGTCCCTACCTCTGAGAAGGCGCGGCCTCAAACTCACGCTCCTGTCCTACCTCTGGTTCATAGAGCTCTTCAGGAAAGCTTTCTCTAGGTGTGTAACCCTAACGCCTTCCACGCCCGGCTGTGGCCTTCAACAGGTCTCACCTGTGTTTGGGTAAACTCCGGGAGTTGGTGATGGCAGGGAGGCCTGGCATGCTGCAGTCCATGGGGTCGCAGAGTCGGACACGACTGAGAGACTAAACTGAACTGAATTGAACACCTGTCTCAAATACAAGCTATCGGTTTATCCTTTCCCAAGCCCTTTGCACAGGCAATTTCCTATGGGTTTGGCAGAGCAGGTTTTTTTTTTTTTTTTTCCATCCCATTAGACAGGAGAGGAAACTGAGCCTTTGCACGAAGAAGTAACTGGACACAGCAAGGTTTGGTGGCCGAGGCCAGTTCTTCCCTCACCTCCACTCAGCTGATTCTCCTGCTGCTTCTATCATGGACTCAGTTGTGTCCCTGCCTCGGAAAAACTTTCCCATAACATTCTGGCTGGCTTAGCAGTTATGTTTGCCTCCAGTTCTTTGACTTATTTTATTGTGTTAAGGCACACATAACATAACATTTACTGTCTTTACCATGTAAGATATAGTCCAGTTCAGTGGTATTAAGAACATTCATCTTGGTGTGCAGTAGTCAACACAGTCCGTCTCTGGAACTTTTATCTTTTCTGACTGAAACTCAGAACCCACTACACAACTTTCCATTATCTCTCGCTCAGCCCCTGAAAATACCATTCCATGTTCTGTCTCTATGATCTTTACTACTCTAAATTCCTTGCATGAATGAAACAGTACTTAATAAAATATCCTCCAGGTGTTTCCCTGCTGTAGCCCATTTTAGAAATCCCTTTCCTTTTAAGGCTGAATAATATTCCATTGTATGCATAGACCACACTTTGTTTATCTGTTCATCCATCCGTGTGCACCTGGGTTGCTTCCATATTTTAGCTGTTCTGAACAATGTTGCTGTGGGTTGCATGGGTGTACAAGTATCTCTTGCAGACTCTGCTTTCAATGCTTTTGGGTATATACCCAGAAATCTGATCACTGGATCATATGGCAATTCTCTTTTTAGTATCTTCCATAGTGGCTACACCATTTTATGTTCTTCCCAGTGGAGCACAAAATTTCCAGTTTCTCCACATCCTCCCAAAACATGTGATTTGGGGTGTTTTGGATAGCAGCCATTCTAACAGGTGTGAGGTGGTATCTTATTGTAGTTTTAATCTGTGTTTCCCTAACGAACTGTGATGTTGAGCACTTTCTCATGGGCTTATTGACCATTTGTACATCTTCTTTGGAGATATATCTATTCCAGTCCTTTGCCCATTAAAATTCTTTTCCTTTTTTGGCCACACCACATGGCATATAGGATCTTAGTTCCCCAACCAGGGATTAAACCTGCACCCCCCTGGAGTGGAAGCAAAGAGTCTTAGCCACTGGATCACCAGGGATCCATTTTTGAATTGGGTTGTTTGATTTTGTTGTTGTTATTGAGTTTGGGGAGTTCTGTGTGTGTATATATATATACACACACATACACATATACTCTATTTTTTTCTATATATATATTCTGTATATTAATCGCTTCTTGGATATATAACTTGCAGATATTTTCTCTCATTCTATGGGTTACCTTTTTACTCTGTTGATAGTATCTTTTGATACACAAAGTGTTTTAAAATTCCATGAATTCCAGTAGTTCTTGGTGCTGTTGGTGGGCTCCTTCATATGGCATTCCAGAGTAGCCCATATCCAAGCGTCCTCTAGACCTGTCTCCCTGAGTTGATGGCCTGTTTACCTGGCTGAACTCACTCATGGACGGAGAGCTCCCTGGGGCCAAGCTCCAGCCTGATTGAGGTCTGCATTTGCAGCATCAGCACGGGGCCTGGCATGTAGCAGGTGCTCAGTGTATGTTTGGTGAATGGGTGAAAATGACCTTCGTGTGATAACAGATCACTCAGGCTGGGGTTTGGCAGAGGGCGCAGGAGAGATGAGGGGCCCCAGCATTATGGAGAAATGGATACAAGAGGACTTCCCTGGTGGCACACTGGGTGAGAATCTGCCTGCCAATGTAGGGGACATGGGTTCGATCCCTGGTCCGGGAAGATTCCACATGCCATGGAGCCGCTGAGCGCGGGTGCCACAACTACTGAGCCCTCGCTCTAGAGTCTGTGAGACACAGTTACTGAGCCCGTGTCCTCCAACTACTGAGGCTCATGACCCTAGAGCCTGTGCCCCACAACAGGAGTGGCCACTGTGATGAGAAACCACACACCACAAGGCAGAGTGGCCCCAGCTCTCCCCAAAGCGGGAAAGCCAGCCCAAAGCCATGAAGACCCAACGTGGCCAAAAATAAAAGTAAAAAAAAAAAATAGAAATTGAAAAAAAAAAAGAAAGAAAGAAATGGGCACGAGACAGCCTGCTTCTGCCAACAGAAGGAGGAGAGCAAGACAGTGAGGAGCACGGACTTTGGAGTTGGGCGCCCAGTTCGAATCCTCTCTTATTGGTTGCACAGCCTTGGGTGAGTTACTTAACCCTTCTAGGCCTCAATCTCTTGGCCGTCTTTGAAATGGGAGTAAAAATAGTATCTAGTTTAGAAGATTGGTTATGAGAATCAAATGGCTTGTAAAACCCGGAGAATAGGGCTTAGCGTATCATAAACATTATACAGGCTCTGGATGTTATTATTACTTTACCACAGTCTCAGCAATTTGAGGGCAGAGAACACACTCCCTATCTTACTGTGGCCCCAGCACCTCGCACAGTGCCCGATGCAGAGCTGATGCTTGTAGAGTATTTATTAACGGAATTAAATTGTCTTTTGTCCACCAGGCAGTCCTTCTTAACTGCGACCTTAGTTTCTCCTGCTACATCTTCCTGACATTCTTAGTCCTGTTATTCATGGTCCTGCTTCTCAGCTTAGTCTTGGCCTCTTTTTACCTGGAAAGAACCTCTAGGAAGGAAAACTGGTTCTCAGTCCTTCACACAGGGAGCCTGGGGCCAGGTGGGCTGGGTGGTCAGTCCCGAGAGTGGAGGCTGGGGAAAGACTGCCTCTCTGCATTTGTCCTTTGTATCCCCTGCCCCAAGTCCTAGAATCACAGAACCTCAGGGCTGTTCTATCCCTGTGGAGGGACCTGAACCACTCTGTGCCTGTTCTCTGTGTGGCTTGCCAGCTGCCTGGTTTCTCTCTTGGAACTAGGGAATCAGAGAGAAGAGAAGATGTTCTGAAAGATGTCCTGTCTCCTTCCAGAGGTTCTAGGATGTGACTCTTTTAATATATCATTTACTTGTTTATCTTTGGTTGCACTGGGTTTTTGTTGCTGCGGCAGCTTTTTTCTAGTTGCGGTGAGCAGGGGCTCCTCTCTTATTGTGGAGCTTGAGCTCTAGGTATGTGGGTTCAGTAGTTGCGGCTCCCAGGCTCCAGAGCACAGGCTCAGTAGTTGAGGTGTATGAACTTAGCTGCTCCGCAGCAAGTAGGGTCTTCCTGGATCTGGGATCCAACCCGTGTCTCCTGCACTGGCAGGCAGATTCTTTACCACTGAGCCACCAGGGAAGCCCAGGATGTGATTCTTTGGATCATCTCCTTGGCACTATTGTTACTTCCCGAGGCAGCTGGGAGCCAAGCCCTAAAGTAAGGGTGGAGGGACAGCCCTGATGCTTCCCCAGGTCTGGTGACAGTGGGACAGACTTCTCTGCAGGCTGCCCCACTACCCTCCATTCACTGGGCCCTGCTGCCACAGTCAGCTGTGGCAGCTGGGAGCCAGGCCCACGTGGACCTGGGCAGTCAGCTGTGCCCTCTGCCCAGGGGTCAGCCCTCCCTGGGCTCCTGAGGTCCCGAGTCCCCTGACGTCACTCAGATCCTGTGACTCGCCCCTCCCCACCCAGGAGGAACCTTGTGCCTGAAGACTTTGGTCTTTCCTCTGATGCTCGTGGGCAGAGTGGCTGGTGGGTCAGGTGCCAGTGGGTGATGGGGAGGCTTGGAGGCTGGCATGGGCCCTGCTTGGGTGGCTCTGTGTGTAAGAGCCATGAGTCACAACTTTCAGGCAGCAAGCAGGAGAGAGGGCAGGTCATGGGCACTGGATATGTGGGCTGTGGAAGGGGTGTGGAACCCAGGTTCACACCCCAGATGTTCCATCGCCTGAGAAGCCCGGTAGCTGACCTGCATCTTCATGAGAGTGGGGCGGACTTGTGCACGAGTGTGTGGTCTAAGTGTAAGTGCAGGGATGTGAGGAGGGGGGTGATGTGGAGGATGGGCAGAGTGTGTGCTGCTGGTGCCTGTACCGTGAGTGGGGTGGTCTGTGTTGGGAACGGGGTTGGTACTGGTTCTGGACTTGGGGGGCTAAGCAGAAGTCACTGGAGAGAGTGACCACAAAATTACAAGGTGCCTCGATCTCTATTTTAATTTAACCTTAGCCTCTGCTGGGGTCAGGTTGCTGGGTAACTGTTGGGAATGGGGGTAGAATTTAGGGCCTCCTATTGCCACCAACCACCACCTCCCCCAGCTGCTGATTATCATCTGAAAGATGATGACATAGGAGGGGAGAGACTTGTTACCCTCAGTCATCACACCTCCAACTAGCAGGGCTGGCTTTTGGGGAGTGGTTTCTGTGTGTTTACGACTGTCAGTGTGTGTGTATGTGTTGTTTCAAGTCTGATTTATCTTTGTGTATATAAACATGTTTGAGCCTGCGGCCTGTGATGGGCTCTGTGTATCACTTTTGAGGTGCGTGTGTTCCCATGTGTATATCCATGAGCTGTGCCACTGTATTTTACTTTATTTTTTGACTGAGGGAGCATGCTGGAGTCACATTTTCCAAATTACACAAACAGAAACAGCATTCTAGAACTAAATGCTAACAGTCCCCATTATATATATACACACACACACATATATACACGTGTCTTACTTTATATCATGTATATATTTGCTATACATCAAAATAAGAGCCTTTGATATATTGAAACAATTTTCTTAAGCAATTAAAAATGTAAACCATTTCTTCTAATAAGTTACATCTTCTGATAAGATGTTTTTATTGTTGTTGTTCAATCACTAAGTTGTGTCCAACTCTCTGTGACCCCATGGACTGCAGCCCTCCAGGCTTCCCTTTCCTTCACCATCTCCCAGAGTCTGTTCAAATTCAAGTCCTTGAGTCAGTGATCCTATCTAACCATCTCATCCTTTGCCACTCCCTTCTCCTTTTGCCTTTAGTCTAGTTGTTTGTTATCTTTCTTTCCCACTAGAATATAATGTTGAGGAGGGCAGGCATTTATTTGGTCTTCCTTGCTTACTGTTGTATTCCCAGTTCCTAGAAGTGTGCCTGGCATGTAGAAGGTGCTGAAGAAATATGTTTTAAGTGAAAGGGAAAGCATTTCTGAGAAATGCATTTAAGAGGCCTGAAGGGTGAGGAGGCATTTACCGGGCCAACAAAGGGTAAGGACTGTTTAGATGGCAGGCACAGTATGTACAAAGGTCCTGAGGCAGGTGGGGCAGAATGCATTCTGGGAGCTGTCAGGTGGCTGGTGCAGCTGAATTTCTCTGTGCATGTGTGTGTGTGTGTGTGTGTGTGTATGTAGGGCTTTCTCAGTCATTCGAAGGAGTTCACAAAGTCATTGAAGAGTTTCAAGCAAAGGAGTGACATAATTGGATTTGTGTTTTAAAAATATTCCCCATTGCTGGAGGAGGCTGGACTCTGGTGTTGGGTTGAGAGGGTAAACAGCAGGACTGGGTATGAACCTGGTACCTTCCTCCAGCGAGGAGGTGGCTCAGCCTGGGGTGGTGGCCATGAGGATGGAGCTCCTAGGACAGAGTCAGGAGCTTTTTCAGCAATGGACTTGGCCGAGTCACCATGATAGGCTGAGTTGAAGGGGTTTGGGAGCCAAGGGAGAGGGAGGTGCTGGGAGAGACTCCAAAATTTCTGAGTTGCTTAATTGGTTGGCTGGTGAATCGAGTGTTTCCCATGTGCTGAGCGATTTGCTAACTATTTCACTCTCCCAATTAATCTTCACAGCCCTCTGAGGCGGGTCAGATGATAATCCATGAGGAAACGGAGGCGTAGAGTGATAAGCCCTCTGCTGTAGGGTTTAGACTTGGCGCTGTGAAGCCCTCCTATCTAATAACATCAAGGCTTACACTTGGCTGGTTAGAATGGGGATCATAAAATAATTAGACAAATGCAGGGTAAATATTTCATTTTGATTGGAGACTCATGGATGCGCTAACACTGGCCTGCATTTAGATGTGTGACTGGGTCCCTCCCCTGAGCCCAGGCCCTTCTGAGCCTTGAATGGTCTTTCTTGCATAAACCTCCCCGTGACTCTCTGTCTTCTCTGGGTTCCAGTTCTGGTTTATTTAAAGTAGAGCTAGAACATCATACCTCTTAAGAACCACTTGAGGTCAAGATTCCTCTAGATGTTTAGACCCTCCTGCTCTCCCAATAGCCCTCTCCCCCACAAAAGCCTGCCAGCTCCCCTCTTTACCATCTGTCTGTTTTCCACTTGACTCAATGGCAATTTTTTTCAGTGGTTTGTTATTACCAAACCTTCCAAAGCATTCAACTTGTATTTTTTAATTAAAAAAGAAACCTTTTTCTTTTCACAGTCATATTGCATTGCTTTGTGTCATATTTAATTAAATTACATAATTACAATAACGAGTGCAACTGGCAGACAGAGTTGGGGACAAACACAATGGCTCTTGGGACACAAGTGGCTTGACTGGTGGGAGTAGAGATGGACAGGAATGTTGGAGAGCTTCCCCAGGGTTGGGGAGGGGGGCTGGCCCAAGCCCTCCCTGCAGAGGGCATCAGTCTTCAGGCTTCTCAGTGGCAGTGCAGAGTTATCAGATGAGGCCTCAGGCAAGGAGGGCCACCAGGTGAGAATGTGGGCAAGTGGGAGGACTGTCCCTAGGGTGACACCCCGTTACATTTAACCAGAAGATGAATTCTGTGTTCAGTATTAAGTACACATATTCGGAGCCCTTTGGGAATCAATATGAAGTGCTACGAGTGGTTTAAATGCTCAGTTTAATTAGGTTTAAAGAATATGCTTTGTATCTCTGTTAATAATGAGTGGACAGGGCTGGCAGTTCACTCTGGAACTTCTCATTTTCCCAGGTCAAGCCCTGGGAAAGGCAGTAGTAGGTAGCGCCTTTGGGAGTGGCTGAGGAGTGCCCTGTTTGTTACTGAGGTGTCTGCTGTACCTGGCGAGGCTGGACTCCATCCTGAAGGCCAAGTTTCTGCCTTTGAGGGACGTCTATTCCTAAAGAGGTGAAGGTGGTGAGATTCCCTGAAACCGTAGGGATCTGGATCCAGGTGCTGGGAAGGGGGGGACCTTCCGGTTGGACTGACAGGTTGTGTCTTGCTCCTGGGGCCACTGGGGTAACAGAAGGGCAGGGATGGGATGGTGCTTTCTTGATGCACATTGCCCGTCTGGCCCAGGGTGGGATGCAACGGATGGGGACCTCATCTGAGAGCACTTGCCGCACATCTGACTAGTTCTTAATGAGTGCTGGGGATCATTCCATCTCTCAGAGGGTTGGGGAGGTGGATGGAGGCAGGATCAGTGGACAGAATGGCATTGATGTGGGAAATGTGGGATAAAGGTGAGCGTGTTCCGTATTCTTAATAGTCAGGGAAGGTAAATTGGTTTAGTTCAGTCGAACCACCATTTCTTTTCTTTCTCTCTTTCTTTGTTAAAAGTGTACTTACTTATTTTGGCTGTGCTGGGTCTTAGTTGCAACACGTGGGATCTTTAGTTGCAGCATGTGGGATCTGGTTTCCTGACCAGGAATTGAACCCGGGCCACCTGCACTGGGAGCGTGGAGTCTTAGCTACTGGACCACCAGGTCTGAACCATCATTTCTGTGTTAGGTTCTGGTAACATCAAGAGAAATATGACACCATTCCTGCCCTCAAAAGCATACCACCTAATCATGGAGACAGAGTCCAACAAGAATTTTTTCATGTACCATGCTATGGCAGTTTAGAATGGACTTAGTCTTAAGTAACAGAATACACAGTAGACAGCGTCTTGAGCAATGAAGATATCTTTCAGTCTCACACAGCAAGAAGTCTGGAGGCAGGTGGCTTCAGGCTTGGTGGCAGGACTCAGCCAGGTTATAAAAAACTCCAGCTTTTTCTTTTTGCTCTGCCATCGTCAATATGTCAGCCTTTTTCCAAATTCTTGTTGCTTCATGGTTGCAAGTTGGTAGCTATGGTGCCTCCTACATTCATATTCAAGGAAGAAAAGAAAAAGACCAAGAAGAAAATGGAACTGTACTTAAAAATTTGTTTATTGGAATATAGTTGATTTTCAATGTTGTGTTAGTTTCTGGTGTATAGCAAAGTTAATCAGTTATACATATACATGTATTCATGAACTCTTTAACTTTTTATTAATTTTTTTTTCATTTATTTTTATTAGTTGGAGGCTAATTACTTTACATCATTGCAGTGGTTTTTTGTCATACATTGAGATGAATTAGCCATGGATTTACATGTATTCCCCATCCCGGTCCCCCCTCCCACCTCCCTCTCCACCCGATCCCTCTGGGTCTTCCCAGTGCACCAGGCCCGAGCACTTGTCTCATGCACCCAACCTGGGCTGGTGATCTGTTTCACCCTAGATAATATACGTGTTTCGATGCTGTTCTCTTGAAACATCCCACCCTCGCCTTCTCCCAGAGTCCACAAGTCTGTTCTATACATCGGAGTCTCTTTTTCTGTTTTGCATATAGGGTTCTCGTTACCATCTTTCTAAATTCCATATATATGTGTTAGTATACTGTAATGGTCTTTATCTTTCTGGCTTACTTTGCTCTGTATAATGGGCTCCAGTTTCATCCATCTCATTAGAACTGATTCAAATGAATTCTTTTTAATGGCTGAGTAATATTCCATGGTGTATATGTACCACAGCTTCCTCATCCATTCGTCTGCTGATGGGCATCTAGGTTGCTTCCATGTCCTGGCTATTATAAACAGTGCTGCGATGAACATTGGGGTGCACGTGTCTCTTTCAGATCTGGTTTCCTCGGTGTGTATGCCCAGAAGTGGGATTGCTGGGTCATATGGCAGTTCTATTTCCAGCTTTTTAAGAAATCTCCACACTGTTTTCCATAGTGGCTGTACTAATTTGCATTCCCACCAACAATGTAAGAGGGTTCCCTTTTCTCCACACCCTCTCCAGCATTTATTGCTTGTAGACTTTT